CATAGTGCCTCAACTAACTACGCTACCTCGTGCCAGCTGGTTAGAAGTGGGATTTGTAGTGGACAAAGTGGCTCTGGGGCAGGTTTTCTCCGAGTACTTCGGTTTCCCTTGCCAATCTTCATTCACCAATTGCTCCACAATCACCCTCACCTATCATCTGGGGCTGGTACAATATGCCAGAAGTGGCCGCAGTACAAGGGACTTAGTCCCACCCCACTAGCAATAAAAAAAACAAATAAATAAATAAATATATATAATATTTTTCCGGAGAAATTAGCAGAACTATGTAGCACTAACGAACTGGACTTGTATTCGAGAGGTGTCCGGTTCGAGTTCCAGCTATGCGGACAATTCCGTGATTTTTATTAATCTCTTCAGTATTTTAAAAAGACTAAGACTCTCTCCTTAGAAACCATACCCACTCGACACTCACGATCCTATCCACCTCTCATTCAACACCGCACAATCTGAGTAATTAAACGGCACCATACAATAACGTAATCAGTTCATTTTATTTCTAGATATCTAAAGGAGGCAGCTAAACCTGTAAAACCTCTTTCTATCATAGCTTTGTCCTCTACTAATTGGCAGCTCAAAACAATTTCAAAACACGTCCTTAATATAATCCACAATTTCTCTTTACACATTCCTGCAAAATTAAAAACCAATGACAAATGTTCCTTTATTATTCTCTATGCCTCTATACCCCTTTGGACCTTGGCCTCTTTTTCAATTTCTTAATTCTGTGCATAGTCGGTATAATTCTTTGGACTAGTGATCAGCCCGTTGCAAGGCCGCTACCTACACACAGAATAACACAAACACAGAACAAACCACACAGATATCCATGCCTTGAGTGGGATTCGAACCCACTATCCCAGTGTTTTAGCGAGCGAAGACGGTTCATGCCTTAGGCCGCACGGCTACTGTGAGAGGCATATTTCATTACATTCCCTGAAAAAGAAATAATTAGAACGTAAGATGCAATTGAAAATAGAATATATTTGTGTAGTGGTAACATCTAAGTATCTACAATGGAGGTACCTGATCAGCATCTCGACCGGTTATAAGCCCGCTTATCCGAGAATTTTCGTAGTTTTTCTCAGTGTTTCTAAGCGAATACCGAAATTATGTCTCGAAATATAAAACATAAAAATTACTATCTCCCAAAATATTCTTACTTTCTCATCTTTCAGGATAATCTTCACGTTCTGTCTCTGTGGTTGAAAGAAGTTCGTTTAAAATAAACACAACTGTGAGATCAACCAATAGACCGGTCACTGTCTAGCGAAGTGGAGGTCTACTGTTTCTACATTAGGATTAAGATGGATGCTCGAAAAGAGCGACGTTGAAACAAGGGATATTTGGTAGGATTGCTGCAAGCGTTGCTCTCTTGTGACCAAGAGGGTGTTGTACGCTCATGCTCCCCTAAACTATTCAACAATCAGACATCTGGCTAGCGACAGGGTGTGTGAGAGTCGGATCAGTTACTACAGTATGTCTAAATATTCAGACCTCAACACCACCAATCGTTACAGGCGCCGTGCCTGTAGGCATCACAACGGTTCTGAGGGACCAAACGGAAAATAATGCAGCTCTAAACTGTTAAATTGTTCCCACTGACTGAATATACAGTGTTTCAAAAAGAGCTTTACAGCTTTGAAAGCTTATATAAATTTATACAGAGGACAACGTTTTGAACTGTCACAATGTATCAAAACACACCTAGTTTCAGGCACGTGGTACTGTAGTACCCAATACCGCCACCGCGAGCGCTCCCGCAGTTGAAATCAAGATGGCTACTTTCACAGGTGCAGAGCCTGCTCGTTGTGTGTTTTGGTTCGAAGAAACGAAGTTTGCTAAGTTCAAAAAAATTCGCACTCAGTATCGCAAGGAACCTTCCAGCAGGTCTACAATTTACTTCTGGCAAAAGAATTTTGTTCAGACCGGATGTTCTGTGCCCCATGCAAAGCCACCCAGTCGACCACGTGTTTCTGACGCTATAGTGGAACAGATTAGTGAGAGCTTCGTTCGAAGTCCACGAAAGTCAACGCGACGTGCGTCTCGGGAAACTGGTATTCCAAATGTTACTGTATGGCGAGTGTTACGAAAACGTTTACACTTAAAAGCGTACAAACTATCCATCGTTCAACACCTTACGGATGCAGATAAGGTGGTCCGTAAGGAATTCTGTACGCAAGAAGATAAGAAGTTTCTGGACTCCGTAATTTTCAGTGATGAGAGCACGTTTCATGTCAGTGGTAAGGTCAATACCCACAACTGCAGGATCTGGGGCAGCGAAAATCCACGTGTCTCCCTGGAACATGTTCGTGATAGCCCAAAGGTGAAAGTGTTTTGCGCCCTCAGCAAAGAAAGAGTATACGGCCCCTTCTTCATGGAGATGAACATTACCAGTAGCGTATATCTGGATATACTCCAAGAGTTTCTCATTCCACAGTTAGACGAAGATGACCAAGAAGGACGCATTCACTTCCAGCAAGACGGTGCACCCCCTCATTGCCTTGGAGAATTGCGCAAGTACCTCAACACCCGTTTCCCAGGTCGGTGGATTGGTAGAGAGGCGCCGATAACATGACCACCCCGTTCCCCGGATCTCACTTCCCTGGATTTTTTCTTATGGGGATTCGTTAAAGATCGAGTGTTCGTACCACGTTTGCCTGCAAATGTCGTTGAGCTCCGAACTCGAATAACTGCCTCAGCCATCTGAACAAGAAATTGTCCTTCTCCTTATACAAAACATGTACTCAATATTGTGATAGGAAAAGAACCTGATACTGGTTCTTATTCCGATCCAGTTGAATCTAATGTGTACCCCCATAAACTATTTCTTTAATTACACTTTTAAATTATCTCCACATTTACGTCTATCTCAAGAGCCGGGATAGCTCAGTCGGTATAGCGACTGGGTATGGACTGGACGACCGAGGGGTCGGAGTTCGAGTTCCGGTGGGAGTAAGAATTTTCACTTCTCCATGCCGTCCAGACCGGCTCTGAGGTCCACCCAACCTCCTATCCAATGCGTACCAGGGACTCTTTCTCCGAGGGTAAAGCGCCAGGGGCGTGAAGCTGAACAGTCACCTCCAAGCTAATGCCGAGGTCAAGATAATATGGATCTATATATCCACTTCCCCATACGCCTTCATGGCGTAATGCTTAATTAGTTAAGCACAGGGACAACTTTACCTTACATTTACATCTATGTATTCCAAGTTGTGTCTTCGCTTTAGGTTTTCCGAGTAAAACGTTGTGTGCACATTTCATGTATCCCATGTGTGCAGCATGTCATGCCCACATCGCCCTGCTTCATTTTATGTCCGTAATGATTCTATGAATAACACTATACACTGTCAGTGGGGCTAATTAATTCCTGCATAGTATCCTACAAACAAAACGCAAACTAAAACTTTCTGAATAAAAAGGGGCACAGAATCACATTTTCACGTAAGTACGGTGAAGTCGGAAATTCAGGATATATCATTTTGAGGGCCTTCCCGATTTATACATAGATCTTGTGACAACCATCAGGGAAACAAGGAATGCATACAGAATTATAATGAGGAATTCTCTTTCAAAATGTTCACTTAGAAATCCGAGAAATAATTAGAAAGTAATATTAAGATGAATTTTGTGTAGACAGGTTACAAGGATCATAACTGAATGTAAGTTATGATCCAAGTTTTGGGACTCGATGTAAGGAAGATGTGTAACCTCAGTCAACTGTATAAGCGATAAGCAGGTCGAAGCTCGTCTACGCAGAATATCAAAAATCGATCTCAGCTTCAAGAAAGTATGCTTAATCCTCATGACAAATATCAGTTGGTTATCAACGAAAGAAACGACAGATATCCATTTTGGAATTAGACAAAATCCATGAATACAGTCCGAGAGTCAATCTAAAGTAAGTGATCTCCGTGCTGTAGAAAGGGTTACGGTGGTTGTATTACAGTTCCACTTGGTGGATACTTATATTTTTGTACATCCTGTGACACTGTGCCTGATTCCTCACCACAGCGTAGCTAAAATCTGCTATAAATTAGATGAGGAGTACAGCTAGCAACACAAGTTAATGTTTATAACACATAGCTATGGAGAGTGTTGTACACTGTGATCATTCGAGGGCTATTCTAAAATCGTTCTGATGCTCAGGCGACAAAGAGTCGCTCCTCGCCTCAGTTCGGGCCGACCAGTAGCAGGATCGACAACTCAAAGGCCTGTAATTTCTATATTACAAGTTTCCTTCAATATATTGCTGAACAGCTACTGTGAGGTGAGGTTATGCGTTATGTGCTGTTGTTTTATATGGCCTTTTTCGGGGGTTTTGTGACAGTTCCTACGGAAGTTTTTGAAACCCGGTGTCGTGCGCAAGGAGTGAAGGACTTATTAAATGGGTATTTAAGCCTAGTAGACGTGAGTGAGCAGTGAGCACTCAGTATGTTGATTCGGCTCTTTTCAGTACAGCAAAGAACTTGTCTCTCTTCGCTTATTTTCAATTGCATGATCAATTCCCCTCTTTTGAACCTATAATATCCTGAAATTTAAGCCTGTATCGTCTCCTTAGTTTTCTTAACCACTTCTGCAACAGATGTCACACATGAAGTCCCAGTGTTCTGATGCGCAACCCGCCGATTGCTCTTGACAGCAAAAGAGACACGACTGACTGGATGATGACACAGAAGCCGGGATTCTGAATACGCTCGGCCTCACGCCACAGTAGCTGTGCAATGACATACTTGGGAAATACTGACGAGAAACTTTAATGTGTCTGGGCTCTTGATTTGAAGAGTCTGCTACCAGTTCTCCCGCGTTGACGTGAGGAGCGCCTGCCTTTCCTTCCTGAGCGACCGACTGAACGATTTTCTGGTAGTTATCAGACAATCGTACTGTATTAACATCAGATATTTTTCCCATGTGAGAAGGATATATGACTTAAAGAGCAAAATGGCTGGATCTATAGGAATTATTTAGTACTGCATACTTACCTTGATCATGCCTGAAGAGCGACGCCTCGCCGTTGCATCCGTCACGTTCCTGAAACCAAAGAAAACAAAAGTATTAAGATTTAAATCATGAGGTATATCTCACTCTGACCAGTTAACATATTTCTCAGAACAAGTACATATGATTCTGTTAGTAGACCAATTAGGAACAAGACTACTGTTAGCCTATACCCGACAATGTACCCCGTCGATTCGTAAGATATTTATTGATTCATAGACAGGACTGGTTTTAAATGCTGTTAGCTAATTTAACAGATTAATGAATTAACCGCCGGTCACCGTAGCCGACCGGGCTAAGGCACGTACTGTCTTCGCTCGCTAGGAAGTCGGAATCGTGAGTTCGAATCCCACACAAGGCATGGATGTTTGGTATGTGTATGTGTTTGTGTTGTTCTGTGTATGGGTAGAGGCCTTGCGACGAGTTGATCACTCGTTCAAGGAGTTCTACCGCCTGCAAAATATCATGAAACTGAAAATCAGAGACCAGGGCCCAAAGGGGCTGTAGAACCAGTGAAAAAAAAAAGAAAGAAACTAACACATCAGCTCCTTTCAGAAGGAAAGAGGATAGGTCATATTCAGAGTATTTCAGTACAAAGGACAGATGATATTTGCACCTATTATTTTTTTATTGCTAGTGGGGTGGGACTAAGTCGCCTGTACTGCGGCCACATCTGGCCTATTGTACCAGCCCCAGATGATAGGTGAGGGTGATTGTGGAGCAATTGATGGAATGAAGATTGGCAGGAGAAACCGAAGTACTCGGAGATAACCTGCCCCAGCCCACTTTTTCCACCACAAATCCCACTTGACCAGAACCGGGATCGAACCCGGGCCGCCGCGGTGGGAAGCCAGCGACTAACCGCTTGAGCTATATTTGTACCTAAGAGAAATAACCAAAAGAGAAATGGAGAAGAATACTCTGATGATTTCAATAATTTGTACTAATGCACTATTACCGTAATGTATGAGATGAGCAGGATATGTAGCACGAACTGGGAAAAAAGAAATCCACATAACACGTTTATTAGAAAACATCAAAGGAAGGGACTTCTTGGGCGACCTAGACGTAAATGGAACAACAGTATTAACATGGACATTACCGCAATGAGAAACTAAACTATGAACTGAATTCAACTGGATCAAAATAGAGTGAATTTTAAGGATTCACAACAGCTGGAAAATTCCTGGCAAATTTAATAGCTACACATTTTTCACGGAACGTAATACGGTATACAATTAGTATAACAAGTACTTGTTGCATGATCTTCTTTGTACAGCCAGCAAGCGGTCGACACATCAAGAAAACTCTGTCCTTATGTAACTTCAGAATTCACTGAATGTTAAGTTCTGACCTTAACAATTAAATTCCTAAAGATTGATTTTACTAATACCATCCAATTGTCACCTACATAGTTTAAGACGCGTTTTCGCAAGAGAAAAGAAACAAATCTCTCTCTAATACAGTACAATATTAATAGTGCTGCCTGAGACTATAAGTGCGCACGCGCTGGTTGCAGGTAGTTACTAATTCTGCCCATAGTTGGATCTGTCAGCAACAGACTCTCTGTCTTCAACTGTCGTCATTGTCGCTTAGAAGAGCTCATTGTAATCCGTGTTTTGCACTTTTCAGTATCTGATGTTACTAGTTGATTCGAATACGCGAACCGGAAGCTTTAGTACAACTTAACAACCTAACATACATTCTCTTGGAAAACGTCCACCTAGAATTCCGAAAAGAAGATAGGAGGATATAATTAAGACGAATCTCAGAAAGATATATTGTATGGAGTTTGTTCCGGACAGTGTGCAATTGTGGGCTTTGGCAGTTGTGGTGCGGTTCTGACACTTTTCAGCTATGCATGACTTACAAGCGGCGCTGGATTTGCGGAGTCTTCGCTGTGCTGTCGTGTATGCGGACCTGTCCAGGATGAACCTCTTCGAGGTCAGAAAATTCCTCACCAGAATCTACAACACAAAAACAGTGGAACAACTGTTAACAGGGAGACAATAAGTTATATGTTTAAAGTTTTATGTCGTAAAGAGTAGGTTTTTCTGCATGAGATTCGAGGTTTTCAAGCAAACAGAAATTAATATTATGATCTTTTGGTCTATAAAACCATAAGCCTCGTAGTTCCTTACCGCCATTTCGAAGGAAAATAATGACTCTAATAGCTTGTGACGATGGTACTGTACATTCACACAGTAGGACGTATGAGAAAGTGGATATAGAGATACACATTTTCTTGACCTCGGCACTAATTGTGAGAAGATATAGTGTTTGCAGTAGTGATTTGTTCAGTGTATAGATTAGAGGCAGTGTTATAATTGCTTGTACTTAAGAGTTATAAGTGTTCAGTAAAACCGATTAATTCTAGTTAGTTAGTTAGTTATTTAGAGAGGGTGGGTTTCCCCATACACCGCGACCAGTTTGATCTGTTGTGCTTCCCTCTATGATATTCTACCAGTCTCTATACCCTACCGATACTGGTGCTTACCATCAGTCCCGCCCAGCCAGCGAGACCGGCTCTACTAGCTGAGAGGTATCTATAATGCTTCCCCCATCTACCAGAGGTATTAGAGACTGCTGTTGGGCGGGAAACGTCCTTGAATTTGGCTCAGTGACCTCCTTAGGAGATACGAGGTTCTTTTACGTGCCGTAAAGCTACGACACGGGACCCACGGCTTAAATTCCCTCCCGGAGGCCTTGTTCCCTGAATTTTTCCTCCCCTAAAATTCCACGACCTCCGCCGGGTTTGAACCCGCGTACTACGAGTCAAGAGGTGAGAACGTTACCTCTAGACTACGGAGGCCGCTATTAATTCTAGTTAATTAGAGAATTGATTGCACACAGTCCAGGCCTTCCTGGTCTCAGTGTAAGGTGTTACTTTAAAGAAGAAACGTGGAAAATATTGTAATTGGAAATAAATATTCCGATTTTAAGCATCATGTGTTCATTTATTGTCCTAAGTGATGACCGAAAATATTTAAATTATTTTTAAAAGTTCACTGAAATCGAACTCTGGATTCGTCATATTAATTTATTCACTCCAGCAAAAATTATGACGGGGAATTCCGAAATTTATAAACATAAATCCAAGTTTTCGGTTACACTGAAAAGAATATTAAGACATGTGAACATTTTACTCAGGCTATAAGCAATTCATATGCATGGGAAAGCGTGGTCGGCATAGCGACTGGCTACGGGCTGGACGAAAGAGTGGTCGGAGTTCGAGACTCGGTAGGGTCAAGAATTTTCTCTTCTCCACCGTGTCCAGACCAGCTATGGGGTCCATCCAACCCCCTATCTAATGGGTACCGGGGACTCTTTCCCCGGGGCTAAAGCTGCCGGGGCGTGAAGCTGACCACTCACGTCCAGCTAGTCCCGATGTAAAAAAAAATGTGGATCTATACATCCAATCCCCCATACGCCTTCATGGCTTAGTGTTTAATCATTTAAGCACAAGAACAACTTTTCTTCATAAATGATTCATAAGATATATGTAACAATTAGAGAAGAATGCTTGCATGGGACAAACCGTCATGAAAGTCGCTCCTGAATCTTGATCTCTGTTACTTGTTTAAAATAGCAGACCTACTTACTGATAGGTTTAGAAAAGGATCAGGAAATATAGCCTCACTTAATTATTGAGGACATTTACTGTATGTTTAATCTGCGTTTATTGAAAACAGCACAGTCATGGAACAGTCAAGAAGCTGTTATATGTTATTTTTATTGCTAGTGGGGTGGGACTAAGTCCCTTGTACTGCGACCACTTCTGGCCTATTGTACCAGCCCCAGATGATAGGTGAGGGTGATTGTGAAGCAATTGATGGAATGAAGATTGGCAGGGGAAACCGAAGTACTCGGAGAAAACCTGCCCCAGCACCACTTTGTCCACCATAAATCCCACTTGACGAGACCCGGGATCGAACCCGAGTCGCCGCGGTGGGAAGCCAGCCACTAACCGCTTGAGCTATGGCGCGGCCCTAGCTGTTATATGTTAACATGGCTTTCATGGAATAATTTCAACGCATTGCGTCTCACCCTTCTTGAACATATGAGGCCTACAGTTCCCGCTTGCTTTTGATGTCGTATTTTGGCAATATGTGAGAATTAAATTATATAGCCTTATATTTCCTGGTATTTTGTAGTGACTTCTATGATATACAAAATAAAAGTTGTTTTGTATTGGTGTAAAACTTTGCCTCTCACACTAAGAGAGGAACACAGACTAAAGGCTAAGGAGAATGTGTGAAAGTGAGGAGGAAGTAAAGGGAGTATGGAAACATCTCATACTGAGGATCACTGCGAGCACTAATCGAAAGCCAAGAAATCAGTCCGAGAGATAATGCTTCTGACTTGCACTTGAGTGGTGCTGGGTTCGAAATTCAACCAGGATACCAACTCTCCTCTGTTTTTCTTCGCTGTTTTCTTCATTCTCTCTAGGCAAACACCCAGCGTACGACATCTAAATAGGTCACGGCCGCTTCCTTCCATATAATTCGACGTTATGTAGTCTCTTTCTTTATAATTAGCCTTCGGGCTGTTTAATAAGCACACAAACAAATAAAGAACTTGGTTGAATTATTATTATTCGAGAATATTCCGGTCAGTGAAGTGAATGGTTAAGAGCTGGATAGCCGGATTTAATTCAAGACAAGACATCGGTTTCTTCCATCGCGACCAGTCACAAACCGGTTCTCACTAATTATATATTTATTTTCACAATGGTGATAATGTTTGAACAGATTTCCGGTCCTGCAAGGAATTTTCGCTTCCGCTGCGTAATGATTTACGTCGTAAGACGCCAAGTCCCTAGGGGCGACAAGTAGCCTATGCTGGTAGCAAACTAATTTCTTGGAGCAAAATTCTGCCGGAGAAACCAATAAGCGCTCTGCTAACGGAAAATTCCCCCGCATTTTATGGACCGTATATTTCATTACTGGCGGCAGGAAGACTTTGCTCCATGTAGTTCGTTTTATAGCTTCTTCATTTTCTGTTCTTTGTTTCTTCCTTCCCTTCCATTTTTAGCCTTTCTTCCGTTCTGTTTTGACTAATAATGAGGTCGCTTCACTTATCTTCCTGTTTATGAAGAATGTGCTGTTAATGTAGGAGTAGTTACTCTGGTTTTGATGCCGATTAAAGGTAGTTTTTTTTAATTCGCTTAGTGGGGGGTGGAGTCCAACTGGGTCCACTCGGTACAGCGGCCACTGATTGTCCTATTGTACTTGCCCCGGGTGATTATGATGACGGAGAATTTGGTGGAATGAAGATTGGCAGGGGAAACCGAAGTACTCGGAGAAAACCTGCCCCAGCGCCGCTTTGTCCACCACAAAACACACTTGACCAGACTCGGGATCGAACCCGGGCAGCCGCGGTGTGAAGCCAGCGACTAACCGCTTGAGCTATGGCGCGGCCTTAAGGTAGTGGTTACTGCCCTTTAAGTCGCCATCTTTATATTCGCCCGTATTAACTAAGAGAACATGAAACTTGCTGGTCATAGAAATCGAAGCAAGAAGGTCTTCAATGCGAGGACCTGAAAAAAAAAAAAGAAGCCAAGTGCGACGTTGTGTGACGTGTGAGCTACAAATCTGGGAGAAATTTGAATAATTAAGGACGTCATACTGCAATATTCTGTTGTAGGAAATACACGTATATCGCCAGTGAAACTAAAGAAGAAATGGCTATATCACCATCTCTGATGCTCCATCTCTTAAGCGGGTGGCGATGTACTAGCCTCGATAATGGCACATTCATCTTCTAGTACGCACTGAAGCAATTACAGCTCGTGTAAGTGTATACGTCATGCCACGACAGTTGTTGTAATAATTGAATAGGTTCCTCGCCTGCAATGAAGAGAGAAATCTCCTTGGTATATACATGAAGCCAGTCCCGAGTGCGAGGCACGAGTGCTCTTGCTCGGCAATTACAATCAGACACAGCAACTGTTCCGACCAGGTGTTAAAAAGAGAGTGACTCTGTTAAACCTATTGTCGCGTGTTGGGCGTATATCGCGACAAATAAATTCTCGATGTATTTGATGTAGCGAATTTTATTTCACATTCGCACTTACAATCACCCAAATTACAATCTGACGATTACTGCTATCTGCAGTATCACAAATAGTACACTCCCAATTGCCACAATACAACTGACTGGTTGCTGGCTAACTCGACGATAGGTCCAGGACTCGCTGACTGACTCAGTACAACTCTGCGGTAGCCACACTAGAACTGACCGTGAATAGCCTTCGCTGCTCCGTATGTAGCCTCGATCGGACAGTACGGGAAAACGGCCACGTAATAGGCACCCTTTTTGCCTGGCGCTGTGTTGCTATGTAACGCTAGCGGAGGTCACCGCTGTTACTATCGTAACGTCGCCGCTGTTGATTCGCGTTGCCTAGCGACCGCGATATCCCTCGGTGACGTCACCGCGGAGGGGAGTGGCGGGGCGGGAACTCGCCTATTACCGTA